AGAGATCATAGAAAGTAAGAGGAAAATAAAGAGGGAAATCTGAAAGACTTAATCAAGTATTCAAATTATATGGACTTGAAATGCAATAAAGAGACAGTGATTGCTTTCAAAGAAGAAAGACTCAAGGTCCTACCTAAGAGTTAACTTTGGAAGTGTTGACTTGGCCAAAAAGTTCCTTCTGGTTTTTCTGTAGCATTGTATGGAAAAGCCCCAGTGAACTTTTTGGCCAACCTGTAGCACTTGTACATTATTCTAGAGAGGAAACATGGATACTTGAAAAAGTATAAATGGACAATTCACTTGGCAGTTATCAGAAGTATACCACGTGCCAACCATGGAGCTATGCTCTAAGAAAATTTTTAAATGAATAAAATTCTAACTTAGACTAGATTCCCCTAGAAGCAGACCTTGAAACAATGACTTAAGTAACAATGATTTACTTGTATGATGATCTCAGGCAGTACCAGTAGGAGAGCAGGACAGTGAAATATGTAAAGGAAAGAAGCCAGTAATTGAGCAGGTTACTGCTGTGGACAACTAGAGTCCAGCCCCAGTTAGTGAAGTCTGAGTGAAAGTGAAATCGCTCAGTCGTGTCCAACTCTTTGTGACCCCATGAACTGTAGCCTACCAGGCTCCTCTGTCCATGGGATTTTCTAGGCAAGAATACTGGAGTGGGTTGCCATTTCCTTCTCCAGGGGATCTTCCTGACCCAGGGATTGAATCCAGGTCTCCTGCATTGCAGGCAGACTCTACCATCTGAGCCACCAGGGCATCCCTTAAGTCTGAGAGGTGGTGAAAAATACACCTGAGAGCTGTTATGAATAAGGGGCAGTTATCTCCCACACCTCATCCATCATTGGCTGATTGACTTGTCAGTTCTCTATGGTAAGATTTCTACCACCCTACTAAAATCATTTTCTGCATGGTCTTCAGGAAATCTCTTGTGGTCAAAGCCAGTGGATACTTTTGGCATGGGTTTTGGGAGACCTGACTGCTTAGGTCCAGGTGTTGGCTCTTGCACTCACTATCTGTATGACCTTAGGCCAGTTCTTTAACATAGCCCCTATTGCTTCATTGGTTAAATGAGAACAGCAACAGTAATGACACAAACAATGGTACCTACCTCATAAGATTATCATGGTGGTTAAATGAGTTAATACATGTAAAGAGCTTAACACAGTACTTTAAGCAGAGAGGGTATTCAAATAATGTTTTATTATTTGTATTAGCTCCTGTGATGTCTGTGGTATATAAAAGTGTTAACCACACTTGTGTTTTTGAAATTTTCTCTTATCCACGTTTCATCCAGTCATTCATCTAACTGACTACTTATGCTGTATCCTGTCTTTGTGTTGTATTTTCCAGGACTCCATCTTTAACCCTCTGTTTTGCTCAACCTATACACCATACCAATGAGAATGTGTTCATATTGATGGCTTCAATTTTTACTTTTCTCTAGTGATCTCTAATCCTGGATTTCTCTGTCTCCCAAAATATTCAGCTATGCTGTAGCATCTTCAGTCCAACTGACTGAAATGATAGTCCTATATGGAAGATCCTCAGAACTTTCCACTGGATCAGTCCAAGACTGAACTCATTGCCTTTTCCTTAGAACTGTTGATCTGTATTCCTTGTGAAAGTGAAAGCGTTGTCACTCAGCCATTTCTCTTTGCAACCCCATGGACTGGAGCCCACCAGGCTCCTCTGTCCGTGGAATTCTCAGTAAAAATACTGGAGTGGGTAGCCATTCCCTTCTCCAGGGGAATCTTCCTGATCAAGGGATCAAACCCTGGTCTCCTGCATTACGGGCAGATTCGATTCTTTACCACTGGGCCACCAGGGAAGCCCCTTTATTCCTTGAAGAGATAATAAATAACACCTCCATTCAACAGGCACCAACCAACCAACAGCCAGGGAATCTTAGACTCCATTGTTTCCCCAGTGCTTAGGCTAATGCCTGGTATCAATAGATGGTAAAGAAAATGGTAACTGGCAGGATGGAAATATTGATGCAGAGGGGTAGATGGATTGTTGAGTAACCTATAAATCTGTTTCTTTAAGTATTATCTCATGATCATGCACAATTGAAGGTCAGAGATGAGAAAGCATGTCTTTAGTGGGTGCGTACCCAGGAAACCATTTTCTGTTACTAATTTATACACACGTGACCCTTGGGGATGAAAACCTTCATTGCTGTGATTTGAACAGGCATTTAAATGGTATGTTTGTCTGAAATGATGCTATAGACTATAGACACTTCCTTCTTTTTCCACAATTAAGAAATATCTACCCACATGATTGAAGAAACTGCTTTCCTTCTTTCTCATATAAAGTGATGGCCTTTTAAAAATATAAATTATGTCTATCCTGTTGAAATGAATATAAGATGCACAAAATATTCACTGGCATAAATGCAAATGGCTTACCATGTTTTTGTCAAAAAATACTAGGCATTCTAAACATTTTAATAACATAGTAAAATGTTACCAATTAAGGCTAATTAAGGCAAATTGTAATCATAGGCTTTTAGAGGAAAGTCAATTTTATTATTTCCAAATACATGTAATATGCATATAACAATAGGCCAAGGAAAATAAAGAAGTGCCAGCTATGCAGAGCAAAATAGCCTGCTATGATAAGTTGGAAAATGGTTTGCAGTCAGGTTATCAATTGTTTCTGTGATTGATAATAAATTCCAGAACACTTAAAGAGACATTTGCTTATATTTTAAATTGGTTTTTTATAATAGCATTTGCACTAGTAAATTTGTAAACTGAAGATTAAACAGACTAGTTAATAACTGTAAATCTCAACTATAATAAGTGCTATACTATCCAGTGGAGGAACAACAGCAGTGCAACAAACAAACAAACAAATGGTTTTCATAGATTACAAAGAGGTACTGACATTTAAACAGAGGGTGACATGTTAAGCAAAGTTGAAATATAATATGCTGAGTGGATTTGGAATGCAGAGCAAACACCCAAACCAAAATGAACTCAATAAAACAGTATCTATCACGAGTGTCACTTTCTCAGTTTTACCTATTCCAGGCACCAGATTCTTTCATTCATGCCACAGGCACTAGTCTTGTGGGGTCTATTTAGCCCTGATAGCTATTTATAAAATATCTCAAGTACTTCTTTAACTCATAACTTCAAATAATTTAAGAGAGGCAACAACAGATTTAATTAAGAAGAACTAAGCTTATGGCATGAAATAAGAAGCACAATACTGTGCTATATATATTTTATTTGTCCGTTGCCCATCTCTACCTCATTCACCACTCTGGGAGGCTAATGTGAGTCATCAGTGGTCTCCCGTGTCCTCTGGCTTCCAATTGATTTAGCCACTGGGGAGTGGGAGTAGTAAATAGAAGAGAGAGGGCAGAGGGGCAGGATATTTATTCTCCTAGTTCCCCACCCATGAAGTTGCTTCAGGCTATGTCTCTTGACAAAAGGTTACTGCTCTCTCTTCTCAAGGTGCTTTCTTCTTATGATTCTCAGCTTCTGGCCACTTCTCCCTCCCCTGATGTCTTGGGCCTAGATGTGGTAACATCTCCACTGCTGCAAGACCCAGTTTCTTATATTATCTCTGGTGATTTTCGTACACCCTGATTGTACTATAATTTGTTCCTTTGTAAATAAATCGTTCAGATTATCCAGGCCAGATCACAGAGGAACATGTATATCAAGCTGAGATATTCCACAGGACAGTGTGGGGACATTGAAGGGTTTAAGTGAGGGAGTGGGGTGATTAGATTGATCTTGCTTATTACTGGGTCTACAATGTGCAAGTTACATTGGAAAATAGACTTGAGGCAAAGAGACTATGTAGTCTATTGCAAACACGTAGGCAGAAAATGATAAGAGTTTTGCATTGGCAATGTGTGAAAGCAAGGAAGGAGTTCTGTATGAGAGAAATTAGTAACGAATTATATATGGTGTTTTGCGAGGCTTAGGGAAAATTCTAGAATGCCATATTTCCTGCTTAAGGAATAAAATAGTGATTTTATTACTTGTTTTCTATGGCATTATTTCCATTTTATGAAATCAGCTTAAAGAAAAGATTGCATGGCCCTCAAAGAAAAGAAAAAACAATCTTGTCATGTTTATTTTGAATATTCTAAAATATTCCAGAGTGTAATCTATAGGGAATTGCTATCTTTGACTCACAAGGATATAAAAAAATAGCCTCAGTGTAAGTCTGTCCTACTTGTAGAATATAACTGGCGTGAATTCTAAAATATTGTTACAAGAAGTTTCTAAATATTCAGGAAAAAAATTTTGAGACCAAGTGGTTTACTTGGGAGTTGAGAGAAATATCAATAGGGGAGTGAGGAAGTGAGATAGGTAAGGCAAGACAGCCAATTAAGGATGATGCATAATCAAGCAGGTTACCACGATGACCCACTAGAGCTTTATCCCACTGGGAAAGCTCTGGAACCTCTACAAAACACATATCCCAGAGTTATCTTCCCTAGCATCAAGGGTGCTATCATGTTCATACCCCAGGGCCTACCATCAGCCATTGATGAGAGGCTGCTTCTGGGAGGCAGGGTGGTGAGAGAGTGGAGAGGGGATAGCAAAGCATACTCTTGGGGCCAACACAAAGCCTGCAAGCAACCAAATGTCAGTGATGGTATTGGAAGTAAGGCTGCTGGGGACTGAAGTGATAAGGGTGGGGGACTTGGACATTCTGTTGTAGGAACTTGCAAAAAGATTATTCATATTTTGCTCCAGAGATGAACAGACAGAGTTAAATTTTTCACTTATACTATTGATGTTCTAGGTCACTTTCAGGAAGTTGACTTAACAAAAACTCATGTTTGCCTTAAAAAAAAGTTAGAAATACTACTGTCCGTCATGCTAGCTGTAACACCATGAGCAATTTCTTTTATAAGTAATATAAAATGTGAGATAATATTTGGATGTTAAATTTCATGTGTCTTCTCCAGACTAGCATTTACCCCCACATATTCATTTTTCCTTCTCTTCCAGTTGAAAGGATTCAGAGTCAGTGGGATGAAGTACAGGAACACCTTCAGAACCGGAGGCAGCAGTTAAATGAAATGTTAAAGGATTCAACACAATGGCTGGAAGCTAAGGAAGAGGCCGAGCAAGTCGTGGGGCAGGCCAGAGCCAAGCTTGAGACATGGAAGGAGGGTCCCTACACAATGGATGCAATCCAAAGGAAGATCACAGAGACCAAGGTTAGTATCAAAGCTATGTTCTTAAAATAAAATACACTGGGTAAAATTATACCATGGATTGAAATTTAATGTTTTTTATGTAAATTTATTAAAAGAAAACATAGACTGAGGAAAAAAATCTATATAGTCTTCTTGGATGGGATGGCTTCCATTTCTGAATTAGTCATTGTTTGGACTACCCCAAGCTACACAGCTTGTTTTTAATACTAGACTTATGTGAAAAATAAACCCTGAAATCTCAACAGCTGAGTACAGTGATGATTAATTCCTTGGTTGTGTCATAGTCCGATAGAGGTCAAAGAACTCTTCTTGGGAGCTTTCCCCTAAATGGTGAGTTGCAGATTCAGGATTTTCTAATTTTATTAAACTATAATTTTAAAATCATATCTGCCCTAAGTCACCACAGAAGAATAAGAGAGAATGTGGTAAAGACATGGGGTTTTAGGGCCAGGCCTCCAAATTGTGGACATGACTTCCATCCATATCCCATTGACCAGAACTTATTCCAAATTTAATTTCAGGAAGAATAAGTTGGAATAATGAACTGGTGAACTTTTAGCTACTCCTCGCCATAGCTAGTTTTCCAAAGGGTCTGAACAGCTAAGAGGACACAATTTTTATTTCTATGACAAGAATGTTAGAAAGTCATACGTTTGTAGTATTTCACAAACAGTGCATTTGTTGGAGGCATCATCTAGATGAATAAAAATTCTCTTTCACAAGATATTTGTTGCCACTAAAATTTTCTCCCTTTGACAAGTGTAGATGAATTAGGAATTTCTAAGGATAGTTTTTCCAATTTCTCATTTGATTATGTGAAATAGAGAATCCATGTGGTTATTCTTGAGGGTTCTGGTCTTATCTGTCAGGTACTCAGTATGTCAACACTAATTCTTTATTCTCTCAAAAATTTAGGATTCTATGAATCTAGCAGATAATGGAACAGATTGGTTAATTGATAAGGGGAGATTATATGGAAAAGTAGTTTGGACTGGATCCTTGGGTTAGAAATGAGGGGAAGGAGAGGTGAGAGGTGTATAAAGATAGAATTGATCAGGGCAAGAAGACTCTGAAAATTGGCAGTTAAGAAATACTCTTAAAACATAAAAGAACCCTAAAGTGATGGCAAGAATAATTAAGGTTTAATAGCTTCTGAAAGAGCAAAGGGCTTTAAATAAGAGACAGAAAGACTTGCAAAAGTAAATATGACAGGAGGAAACAAAACAGTTTTTTTATCAAAAGAAGCAAGGTTTTTTGGACACCTAAAACAAAGACAAGATTATATTGTAATTGCTATCCTTATCAAACTTTTGAGATAAAAATTTTCTTTTGAATAGTCAGTCTAAAACTGCACCTTAAAAATGGCTAAGCCATTATCTTTGGAAATTTATGTTTTTGTTTGTGATGTTTAGGAATTTAATGATATATATTGTTACAACTTCACTGTAGGTTCCTAACACAAATAAAGATGACTAAAGCTGTAATTTTCATGTTCATTTCCTAAATGGCATATGCTAAAACTAAAGTAACACTGACATTTAGCGAATACTTGGTACTTGTCAAAAACTATGCTAATCACTTTGCATATATTGGATTAGTTCATCCTCCTGAAAACTTGTCATGAAAAGTAGTATTATTGTTCCCAGTTTACATATAAGAAAATTGAAAGCCTAGTGAAGTTCAGTAAATTCTCTTAATAGCAATAGAGTTAGAATATGAATGCACAGCAATTACTTTTGTAAATGAACTCCCAGATTTCTTCTTTAACCCATTATCTGTGTGGCTAAAACAGACCAAGAAAACACTGTAAGGATCCAAAAGAGAGAAAATTGTAGTTGTGAACTGACAAATAAGATTACCAATGAGCCAACGGGTGGAAAATGAAAGCAGTGAAACAGCCTACTAGGGAGAAGTTTTCATATTCCATTTTACTGTGGAAAAACTAAAAAGATAAGTGTAGGTTGTATTCCATTTTTAATGAAACTACAGTGTTTAATTCTTATAAAAGTCAGGGAGCCTGATAAAGTGGAGGTCTGCCTTTATGTCTACTGTGTTATTCCTCCTGAGTGATATTAGCTGGCTTATCACTTACAATTTTCTTTTAGGAAAAAAGTGTGAAAATAGACATAATAAACACTGGTTAATTTGACCAGAATCTCCTTGCTCCATGAATTCTTTCTTACTCTCTGTATCTAGGGTTAGCATAGAGATGGTGAGCCTAATAAGGCAGTCATCAGACTGTATCTGTAGACTTGTAGAATTGTAATGACAGCAGCCAGCCTCCCCTGGAGTAGCATTACTGATGACTACCCTCCTCATCACAATGAAATGGTTTCAAAGCCAACCACTGGCCCTGTTATACTCTTTGAAAACTGAAACCAGTCGTCATACCTGAACTAATGAAAAAAATCACTCATCATTCTGATATTGTAATGATTCATAATTGCTAACCTTTGTCTATAGTTTCTTCTGCTTCTTATCTACCTATTTTTAATTGTCTTCATATTGTAGATAAAATTTTGAATTCTTAAAGGTAGTATTATCATATAAATATATATGTTGCTGTATAACTTTTAATAATTATCATTTTAACTATAATATTGCATTCGGTTCCATCTTTCACCATTTCCCTTCTAATTTAGAAAACCTCTGCTCTTGGTTAGACAAAATAGTGGAGAAAACATAGAAATAACAGCCCCTTCACAAAGTAAAAATCAAATCTGAGATGCCATCTGAGAAAAGTACATCTTGAAAACATGTACAAGGTGGAAAGAGATAGCAACAGGAGAGTATTTGGCAAAAGAATAGACTGTAGATGGTCCACTGAGTCAGCAGTTAATGAACAGATCACTAAGAGATGCCCATAATGTATGTCTAGTTTCTTTCTTTCCTATAATAATGCTGAATTTTTTGTAAACAAAGCATAAAGTAAGTAGGTGATTTTGTTAACTGCACAGCTTCATTTGCTTTTCTACATGGACCTAGTAAAGTAATTTTTTTTTGAGATGGAAAGACAGATATTAGGGGAAATCATGCAGGATTTCCATCTTAATCAAAATATTTGCCAATAGGCTATAGCAGAAGAGATGATGCCATTTAACTTTTGTAAGAAGTAAGATGGCACACCATTGGCACCTAAAACTGCCAGCAGTGGTCATCTTGGGCTTTCTTTTATTTGGCACAATCTGAGTTTACTCCACAAACTTTCCCAGGCTGTTAAGATTAGTCTAGACTTGGTAGTGGATTCTTCGGAAAAAGTATTTCTTAATGATTTTAAACTTTCTTTTCCGGTGTCAAGAGAGATTTACCCAGACTCAGAGTTTTCATTTATTTTCCCCCCTTTCAGCTTTTGAAAGAGCAATTCCTTTTTTTGTCTGTCTTGTGATTGCTTTTGTGTCAAATTCAGCATAAAAGCTTTTCAAACGTGATGGAATTAGCTGTTTTGTGCCTGGCTGAGCTAAGAGTACATGAATTCAATAGAGAAGTGAAATCTTGTTTGAGCCTAGCTGATTTGGCTATATAATACTTAAAACTATCTGAGGTGAGAAACTCAGTAATTTATCAAATTATTAAATACAGATTTCTGAGACTGTAAAATATCTGGTTTTGAAGACATTGATTTGGGAACTGGAAACAGAGTGTAATCATGTAATTAATAATAATTTTAAAAGTTGATCTTATATGTAGTAAATCTGGTAGCTTTTTGAGGATTGCAAATTATTTTACTAGAAAGAAACTAACCAGGGAGAACTTCTTTTTCAAACATAGATGCAGAGCCTGACCGTTTTCATTATAAGAGAGAATGAGTGGTATTAGATAGTATCTTTATCTACCAAAAAGATATATATACAGTAATGGAAGCTAAATCCTCCTTTCACATATTTTATTTACTATTTAGATGAGCATAACATTAAACCAGCAAATTGACCCTAATGGTAGTTTTAAGCTTGGATTTCTGATACAGTAATGACAAATTTTATTAGAAAATTTCTTGCTAGGACCTGCCATTTTTTCATGCATTTTCTATATTTCCTTTTGCTCTCCCCTAAAGATTCCATGTGATTAACGAGAAAGAATCAATACCCAATGGTACTTTTCCTCTCAAAGTATGTATGAGTCTATTAAACTTCTCAAAGCATACAGAGTGCTTCCTACATCACTGATAGAGCACAAGAAAAATAATGGGTAGTTTCCCAGGTCCTACTGTAGAATATAAATATTTAATGCATTCACCAAGACTTGGATGGCATTATGCTCTGATTGCACCATATTTTGCCTTAGTCCCTTTTCACAGTTTAACTTATTCCATGCTTGAAAATATGATGTGGCAACTCTGTAAATCCACTCCTCCGTGCAAGCAGCAAATTGCAAAATTGTTAAAATTGCTTTTTCTAAACTCTGGAAATTAGCCAAAGGTTGGCAACAATATGTAATCTAATGAATTTCACTAAGAACAGCTGGGTTTGAGGCTTTTTAACTTGGCCTATTCCCATCACTTTCTTCCAACTACACAGTAAACTCAAAAATAAACAATGTAAAGCTACCAGAGAAAGAGAATAGAAATTATATAAATTTATATATATTTTATAAATATATATTTATATATATTTATATATAATTATATAAATTATATAAAGTTTTCTGACCACAACAGTATAAAACTAGAAATCAATTACAGAAATAAAAATGGGAAAGGTGCAAACATGTGGAGACTAAATAATATGCTAGTTAAAAAGCAATGGGTCAATGAAGAAATCAAAAGGGAAATCAGAAAATACCTCAAGACAAATGAAAACATGAAACTCCAAAAATCTATGGGATGCAGCAAAAGAAGTTCTAAGATGAAAGTTTATAGTGATGTAGGCCTTCCTCAAGAAAAAAGAAAAATCTCAAATAAGAAGCCTAACCAGCCACCTAAGAGAATTAGAAAAAGAACAAAACCAAAGTCAGCAGAAGGAAGGGAGTAATAAAGATAATATGAGGGGAAATAAAATATAAAC